GTGGTCATCTGCTGGTACGCTTCTCAGCAGCCCATGCCAGGCGTCACACTTCATCTTACGTAAGCTGAAGTGGCTCAGGCACAAGTGGTGCTCAGAAAATATCTAATGAGTTGTACAACTGAAAACAGTCTACATAGAGATCTTCCGGAAGCGCTCACTAAGGGTGTCCAGCTGCAAGTTTCTTCTTCATTTGGGCATGTCCTAAGTCAACTAGAGGTGCTAATAAAGGGAGAAAATGCTGTGAGGAAGTGCTTTCTTCTTCAGAAAAGCACATATCATGGGAGAATAAGCTCATTATATCCCTGGGCTCCCTAACATTAAAGGTGTCTTAATCTATACTGTGGAGGGTATTTCTGTGAGGCAGCTATTATACTGAACTCTGAAGGCAGCAGTACACTCTCACACCTCAAATCAAGATCTGAGAAATGAAAAGCAGATTAGCAGCAGGTTTTGTAGGCCACTCCAGTGATACTCAGAAACTTCTGGTTGGGAAAGCAGCAACTAATAAATATGGGCAAGCTAAGTTCAAAAATCTCATTTGGAAAGACAAACTAGTTTTGATTTGCCGCAGCAATGAAGTGCAAACCACTACAGTTTCAAATAACAAGATTTTTTTTTTTGAAAATACTAACCTGCTTTTGGAAGACCAATGTTCCTTAACTGATATTTCATGGTAAACAAGGGATTCACTTTCCTTAGATGGGAATTTCCATAGCCAGACTTGCCTATTGTAATAGGCAAGAATGCCGGCTCTTCTCAGATATTGTTTTGAAGGATCTCTTCTTGGTTCCCGGGCCAAAATCATAGTGTTGATAAGTGTGTTGTGTATTGTACCTCATGATTACAAGAGTCTTTCCTATAAAATTTCTATTTCAAATTCTAAGAATCTGGTCCATGTATCAGCCCTAAATTTTCAAGCTAAGCCAACTAAGGGCAGTTCTTATATGTTTCTGTGCTTTGCATGCCTTATGTTCCCACGAATTCACGTTGCTCATTTAGGGACATTGTGAGCATTAGTATGTTAATATATGAAATCCTTGAGAAGAGTATTTATCACACAGGGAAGTTTAAAAATGCAAGCTCTTGTTGTGATTGAGAATATTTCTATCCAAGTGTTTGTCATTACTGAAAGACCTAAATAAATGCCATTTGCTTTGTCATTTGTTTTCTTATATTTTCTAGTTCAGTTTCTGCAGCAACCTTTATTACTAAATATGCCAGAAAATAAAAAGATAAAATAACATAGTTAGTCAAGGTCACTGCTTTTTAAAAGTTGTCCTGATAAAAACAACAATGACATATACGTGTGTGTATACATATATGAAATAATTTTGCACAATCATCAAAGTGTCAGATAAGAGCTTTTCTTTTATATTCCATAATGTGATTTTTCTTTTCTAACCATGGAAACACAAAGATTCTACTACCTCTGTTCTGGAATAGGTTTTTCTAGTAGCTTCCAGATGTCTGCTAAACGCCTAACACTTTCCACAGCCACTGTGAAGAAACTTTTGCTGCTCAAAAGCCTTTTAATATTCAGCAGGTTAAGGAAATCCATGGTCAGCTTTAGAGTTTGTGTCTCTGCTGAGCTTTCAAGGTGGCAAGACCCTGAAATAATATGAACAGCAGGACTACTAAATCTTTCATTATTTCCAGTTTCCCCTTGAGCATACTGACTGTGCAATAAAGAAGCTGTCATTTACACTCTTCTTTATTGCAATGTGGATGATAGCTACAGGGAGCAAAATAAGGCACCGTGTCAAGGTAGCCTAACGGCCATTATGATGAATGTGTAATCACGGCACATTTGCGTCTCTTCTCTTCCTATACAGGTACTTCATAGACTGGAAGAGAGATGGGGACAGCTACTTTACAGTAGACGGAACCGAGGGAACCATCGCCACCAATGAACTGCTAGACAGAGAAAGCACTGCGCAATATAATTTCTCCATAATTGCGAGTAAAGTTAGTAAGTATGGCATGGGCAGAATCCATGTTATATTGCGCTACTTTGGATTTAAGACTTTCAAATGAGTTTCGGCTGAGGTGTTTTTCATTCTTGGAATGACAGCTGAGTGGTCTCCCTAGAAACTGTGAGATCTGGTCCTTTGCTGCGTAAGTCCAAAGACATAGTGACAGCTGCCAATAAGCTGGTCTGCAGAATTGCATGAATATGTAGTGTGACCTCTTCCTTTCTGATGAAGAACTTTCAAAATCTTACAGAAGTGCCAGCTTCCCCCATGCACAATCCCTCTATCTTTCTCATTGGGCATTCTATCAGTGGGGTAGGAAGAAATCATTATCATATGCATCACTTATTCTGAAATGTTTTCTAAAATTGAGGAGACATTTTGAAAGCATCCTTTTCCCTTCTTTCTCTTTTATTAGAAATTAGGTTTAATGAATATACATGTGAAATATATTGGGGTTTTCACTGTATCTCAAATAGTTGCTTAGAATCTGCTGATTGGATTTCCAGAAATTATTCTTTGAGTTGTTATCACTTTGGTCAAGAGAAAATCCTCTGAACTGAGAGTGACTATAGATTTTATTTGTTTGATGTGAGACCCAAGGATATTTTCACAGATTTCCTGAGTAACAATTAGGGCAGAGTGGTAACATGTAGCTCGTGACATAGTGGTTTTTAACAGAAGTTCATTGCCTCGGGCTGTCTGCTTACAGTTTTTTGAAAGGCATGACAGATGCTTTCTGAGTAGATTTCTTCTTTTCGCCCTTTTACCTTTTATACATCTGGTACACATTCATAACACTATAATGGTTGATTTAAACTTTCAAAACTAGGAAGAATTTTGGGCTTTTCTGAAAAGAGGCTTTGTTCAGCTTCAACCTGGTGGGGGAGATGGTTTTGTTGATCAAAAACGACTGCCTCTAAACACGGATAGTCAGATAGCTCTCCCATGCCTTCGTGAGGTCTTCAGTTCATTTCATCACTTTCACTTCACTCCTGATCTTAACAGGAAGTCTAACATAAAGGCCACACAGCTTCTACCCTGTTTTGGGAAGGCATCTTGGGCATCTGCCCTGTCATGAGAGAAATCTGACTACTCTGTGATACCAGAGAAGTCACGGTTGGCACGCAGATGAGAGCTCCAGCTTAGGTCATTTGGTTTGCCCAGTATTCCTATTCTTTGCTGGATGGGTACCTCTTTCTTTGAATCCAGCCAGTTCAATTGCTGCCTGAATCTCATCTACCATGTGACAGGAATACAACTCAGACTAATTGGTTTGGAATCATAACCACAAAGCCTTTGGAAATAGGAACAGGTTATTAAGCAAATGTGTTTCGGAGTTGCTTATTGATACAGAGCGGTAGACATCTAGCAAATATAAAGGCAACATGAATTGTAACTCTGATTCTTTAAGGCAGGGCATAAAAACCCCTGTTTGCGAGTATGGAGTAGAGTGATAAAAATGCACTGCTCTCTTCTGTCAGCAGCATATCGTGCCCCACTAGCTAACACATTTTAGGACTGAAATGCACTAATGGTGGAGGCAGCTGTCAAAGGAGACATACTTCTTGTGTGGGTTTTTTAACATTCTTGTGAGACTCTTGGAAGTATTTTTAGTTCTGGTACCTCTGGACACCCCATCTGAATGGAAATCAGATGGAGGCATGCAAGGGTACCCCTTACACCCTCTTCATCTCCAACAGCATTGTGGTGAAAAGGTGACCTTCCTGGGTAAGTTGTTGGCAACATTTCTTCAATTCGGATATTTTCCACTGTGTCCATCTGACCCTGAGGACACTGACATCTCCTCGCAAGTTAAATCACGAACATCACAGGTTCTCTTCCAGGAAGTTTTCTCTCCATTGACCCTTTCTTTCCAGCTGACCTTTTGCCCTGCACTGTGCTCAGACAGAAGATTATGGAGTTGTTGCTCTGATCAGACGTTTCTTAGGGAGAACAGAATGCCAGCATCCTTTGTGAGGCACATCTGTACCTGACGAGAACCTCGAGGTATTTTCCTGAAGTCTATTTTCTATCATTTCTCCCTCTCTTCATCTATTTTATTACAGTCCTATGGGCACAGAGGAAAATAGCCAAAATGAAGAAATTTTGCCAACATCTTACCCAGGAATTCCACCTTCTCAGCACAATGCTGTTGGGGATGAAGAGGGTGTAAGGGGTACCCTTGCATGACTCTTACTATACTACGTTAATCTTACTTCATTTCATGATAACTTTTAATGCTAAGTGCATCCAGAATTTTGAAGGCAGCTTAATTATATTGTCTTTGGAACATAAACTTTATTTTTCTAAGATTTTTGTTAAAGAGAGTTATCTATGATATATTATGGATTACGTATTCTGTGAAATGTAGTTTTTCACTCCGGTGGTTTAAACATAAGTGACAACTGATCAAAGACAGCCTGTAATCATTTTTACTTCTTGCATATAATTTGTCTGTAATACAATAATTATCAACAAAAAGCTAATCTAGCATAAATCTTCACACACACACACGTGCGCGCGCACACACACACACACACACACACAGAGCCTACATATTTTAGGAGTAGGAGTGGAAGGCTCTCCTACTTTAGTTCCAACTGAGTTGCTGTGGGTAGTTAACTAGCAGCCTGCATTGTAGTGATGGAAACCTTTTTTTCCCAGTGACCACCAAAACCATTATCATTGTACGAGGAAAGTAGGAAGAGTAACATTTAGTGTCTGCTCCCAGAGCTGTGTGCTTCAACTATTTTGAGAGTGGAAGAAAATGTGAACCTTTACAGCAGAACTCAACATTATTTGCTCCTTGAAAGATTAAATATGCTAAATTACAGAATCCTAATAAATCACTCATTAAAATGATTAGTGCACATGGTGCAGTGCTCTGCTTTCTGTAAATTTTATGTTAATGCAATTTAGGAAGCTCTAGATTATGCATGGTGATGTGTTACCTTGGTCCTCATCATCAGAATTAGGGGTTAAAAAAAGGGCCTGCCGAATAGCTGAGTGGATTAAAGCACTGCTCAGGCGGACACGCAGCAGCTGGGGTTCCATCCCAGGGCTTGCTGTGCCGGCTCCGCCCCCTGTACACGCTGAGAGGGCGATTGAGACTGGGCGTGGTGGCACGAGCTTGTAACCCCAGCACTTGGGAGCCTGTAAACAGGAGAATCACTAGGAGTCCGATCTATGTAGTGAGACCCTGAACACCCTCTAGACCCTGCCCTAATACAGGAAAAAAAAAAAAAAGAATTAAGGGGGAAGCTGTGGTGTAAAAATGATCTAACAGAGATGACAAACTAATTTTCTTAAAATTGACCCATAGTGAATTCCAGTATCTATTCATAGGCCATTGAATGGATTTCAGAGGCACAAATACAGTCTGCTAAAATGTAGATGAAACACATATCTGTATGCAAAAAAGGATTCTAAATATGTGAGATAATTAAAAATTCTATAATGCAAGATAATTGAGGGTGTTATGCTTCAATCCTGGATGTCCCCCCAGAGCCTCATAGATTTTGAGTGGGGCTTTTTGGAGACATCTGGGTCTAGAATTTGAGACAATTCTTAGCTCAGTGCTAGGATTCGGGCACTGGGATTATGTCTGAGTGATTGCTGGATCAAGCAATTCAGTGCATCGGCACTGCCCTATTCCTAGCGGCTTGGATAAGACAAAGGTGCAGAGAGAGGCCCGCCCACCACCTCCTGTGCTGGCCGTTTTGCTGTCTTCTGCCACCTTGACATAGTGCCCCTCTTCCGTGTGCCACCCTGCTATAGAGCCAGCTATTGTGAGCTAAAATCTCTCCACACTGTGAGCTCGCAACACCACGCCTCCTTTGACTTTGGGTTTTGGGCATTTTGTCTAAGCAATGAGTAAAGAAACTAAAACTGCTTTATTTTGTTTGGAAGCACAGTTTGAAAGTAAACTTTATTCATATTCTAAAGCCCAAGGCTGTCTTTTTTGATCAAACTAGCCAGCTGAGCAGGGGATATCATGAGTGAATGAATGTGCAATAAATAGCCCACACTTGCTCTTCCAAGAGAAACAAAATTGTTTAAATATACTGCACAGCAGCCTGCATTAGCATGCTTTGGCCTTACCCTTTCATAAAATGTCTCAGGTGAATTGAAATGGTACAATGATTGAACAACTTTCAATTAATTACAAAGCAGCCATTAATCAGTGCTGCTGTAGTTGGAGGAGCAAATGAATTTATTAGACTTTCAATAATTATTTTATGCATTGCTGCCTTGCCATTTTATGATGTTAACCTTATGGATTTGAAGAGAAGAGGGAAGTTTGAAACATATACTTCTTTCAAATTATGAGAAAGTTTGAACAGGTTGATGATTTTATTAATTTATTTATTTTTGGTCTTACTGTAACAAATGCCATTAATTAAAAATAATGGGTATTGATGTCAATAAAGCCCTATATTGTGTATTTATATAATAAATAGAACACACTAGAAACAATTATTTCTTCGTTATTTTAATTATCCAAATGGAAGTTGGATTGGTCGGTTGGTTCCATTCTTTGTAGAGAAAGCAAAACTCGTTTAAGTACCTTAGGTAAGAAATGCCCACATGAGGCATCGTTTAATGAATTCGGAATTCCTTTTCAGGTTATTTCTATAGTTGCCTTCCATAATAGAATCATTTTATGTTGTGGCCCTTTCTTTTCCTTAACATAAAATAAATGATATCATTTTCATATGTATAAAAATGCAAAACTGTGAAATTGGTGTATGTTATTCAGACTCAAAATAAATGCTGGACTTAGATTTATTAACTGCCTGGAGGACAATCTCTGCATAGAGGACTGTACAGGGCACTGTCAGCTCAAAGGGTTGCCTTTGAGCTAGTGTCATCAAAAGAATGACAACCTCATAGAGCTAGAACTCAGGATTCTCACAAGTGGAAACCCAATATTTTACAAGGACAAATATTCATAGATTTTTCATTTGTTGAAGTAAGTAGTGGTAACTATAATCAA